AAAACAAACAACAAAACAGTACAACACAGCACTCCAAACACACATCATAACAACGTTTAGGTCGCGCACTGCCTGGCGGGAACACCACTTTCAGCCGAAATCTGCGCGGCGCCAAAGCGAAAGCGACATGTCCGTCCGCTCGCGCGTCGACGAAGATGCGTACAACAGATGCGTGCCGCGCCCAGGCGGGAGTTCAACCCTCTGGAAATATGATAGCGGCGCACAGGTCAAAGCGACCTTGCGGCCTGTCGGGCGGAATTTGCGCCGAATCCGCCTGCTGCCGCGCATTTTGTAGCGTCGGCGACAGAACACCTCGATGATAAAAAACAAATGAGTTGTATTTTCTGTTTTAGCGAGGTACTACCCACTCTGCCCCTATCAACTGGCTGGGCAGCAGAGTAGGAATATATACACTTTCAAGACTAAAGATCCGATTGCCAGAATAACCACATTCCGACACAGCGTGACTAGCTACACAAATAATGGCATCTCGAGGGCCGTCTGGGCGCGTTTCTGGCGGAGTCAACGCTCCTCCTCCTCCTCCTCCTCCTCCTCATTCTCCTCCTCCTTTTCCTGACCATCCTCCTCCTCCCTCCCCCTCTTCCTCCAACTCCTCCTCCTCCTCCTCCTCTTCCTCCTCTTCCTCCTCTTCCTCCTCGTCCTCCTCCTCCTCCTCCTTCTCCTTCTCCTCTTAGGTTCACCCCCTACTGGTCCTTTTCCTCCCTGTTCCTTATACATAAGGCATTGCTGTCGCACCCCCAGACATGTGGGGAGAGCGGGCTGGGCGTTTCGCCTGAAATGTCCTAGCCAATAACGATCCTGGGACAGAAACCTCGCAACAAATTCAAGGATGGAGGGCAGGACTTGTTCAATCTGTAGCTGTCGCCTCAGCCTCGCACGTTCGTAGTAAAAACTTGCGGCCGCTTCGTGGATGGACGGGGGTCGTTTACAAAACAAAATGTTCGATTTAACGCCGCGCGCATTTCTGCAAAACGGAAGCCACGGGCTCAAGGATGGAGGGCAGGAAGCATTAACAATGGGATTCCCGCCGTCTCGCAGCGCGCATCCAGTCAACAAAGATGCAACGCATTCGTGGCTTAAGGCTGTTTATTTATCAAACGGACGCTCGCTTTCGCAACGCGCTCATTCATCTTAAAATCTTCAATATCAGATCCCAGAGATTTCTCCCGATATTCCCACCAGAAGAGGGGGATTCCTAGAGATTTCCCGCATGTTTCGGTGGAGATTTGGCTTGAAGATTTCGCCGGGAAGATCTGCTATGAAGATCTGAAGGGCCCCAGCTGCAGCCAGAGATTCAGGGGGGGATTGTCGCGAGATTTTGGGCCAGAATCATTTCGGAGCCGTTATCAAGACGCTCCCAATCTAACCCAAGCGGCCCCGAAGATGGGCCCACTAAAGCCTCGCGACGTTCGGACGCCCCGAAACGGTCCAAGAAAAAACCGTCACAGCGCCAAGACCGGCGCGAAAGTCGCGTCCAACCGGCCTGACAGATCCCCCCCCGCCCGCCTCCAACATGGATCATGGGTCTGCCATAACTGCCATGGGTGCCCTCCAACCACGCATGCGCGCCTTCCAGGAAGGCCCAAGATGCACCAAAAGGATGTTTCCGCAAGGGAACAAGAACCAACGATGGACCCAAAGTGTTGATGCGCGCGCAGCAGTGTTCTCACAGTTGCGATCTCCTAAGCCTGCAAGAAGACCCGAAAATGACCCAATATCCGGTTCATTCCATACGTCTGCAAAACCCCTGCATGGCGCCCCTCAGGCGTTGAATGACCAGCCAAAGAGCAACCCAGGAGGTCCAGAGCCCTCCCCTAGATGCCTCCGACACCTGCCAAGGCCGCTCGATGATGCTTCCCAAGCAACCCAATGCTATCTCTGGATGCCTCCGCACCGACTCAAGGCGCTCCAGGAAATGTCCGAAACAATTCCAGACAGTCCCATCGTGTTACATAGGCGCCCAGCGCGCTTTTGCGCAATGCTTGAAGAGGTCTCAAAGTCATCCTCCCTGGAGCTTCTGCTAAATCTAATGCAAAACTGGTGGGCCTGGACATCCAAATATCGACGCTTAGGCATCCGCGTCGACGCGTCTGGGCATGCCCATGCCGAAGCCTCGGAGCCAGCAGCCGCATGCCTAAGCATGCCCATTCTGACGCATAGGCATCAGCAGCGCCATGCCTAGGCATTTGCATGGGCACGCCCAAGCATGCTTTGATGATACCTGGGCATCTAGGGCGGGGGGGTGAAAGTGCCGGCTGGGACCAGGGCGAGCGGGCCGACCAAGGTGTCTCCCATGGCCTCGCGAGACTCGCCTTGAGCTAGCTCCGCTAGCGGGTGTCTGGCCCTTGCAAGAAGCTCGTGACCGTTGGACCCACTGGCGCGTAGACGACGTTCTGGAGTCGCGCACGGAGCGCGGCGGCCTCTGACCACCGTTTCGACGGGCAGTCTGCAATCGCGAGGCCCTGGCCGCGCCGCTTCGCGATGAAGCCGACCGCCCAGGAAGCGACGCGCTCGCCCGCCCTTGCCCTCGGCCGCCCCCGAGCGCCCGCGGCCTCGAAGACGCTCGCGCGCCCTGCGTCCGAGACCTCGAACAGGGCGTTGCGCCGGCAAGTGAGCACGGGGCTGACGGGCTCGCCTGCTCGGAGACGCCCCGCCTCGCCATCGCCCCGCGCGCAGGTGGCACCGCGCCGCGAACTCCCCCCTCTCGAGGCCCCTGTCGCTCGCCCGGCAGCGGCGCGCGCAGCGGGGGCGAGCTGCGTTTCCATTTGCCGCGCGCGCTCGGGGTGGTCTCTGCAGGAGCTGCCACTTTCGGCCGCGAAGGCCACCTGGTCCTCCTCTCGCTGCGTCTCGCGGAACTTGCGGCGGAGCTGCTGCGCGCGGCCCCTGGCGCCTGCGAGCTGGATCTCGCTCTCGCGAACGGCCGCTGATTCCTCGCCCCGGAACTCGAACAGGAGCGCGGTTGCGTCGGCGACGACCAGACTCGCGTCGGCCTTCGCTTGGCGAAAACCGACGCTGCGGCTGAGCTCCTCGGAGCTGCCCCTCGCCGCCGAGGCTGAGCTCCTGGAGGCTGGGCTGAGCTCCTCCGAGGCTGACGCTGCGGTCGAGCACCTGGAGGCTGGGCCCTGTCGGCGGTGGCCCAGGGGTGCCAGGCCTTTTTCGCGCAGCGGGCGTTGTTCTTCAGCTCCGAGATCCACTGCCCCTCGCGCCCGGCGCGCGCGGCCTGGGCAGAGCGGAACTGGTCGACCCATCTGCCGCCCGCGCGGATCTGATGGTTGATCTTGGGGGTCGCCAGGAGCTGAGTCGCCGCCTCGGGGATCTCGGCGTCGTGGCTCTCATGGTCGTGGGCCCCCAGGCGGAGCTGCCAGTCTTTCTCGAACTCCAGCTCGTAGCGCAGCCGCTCCAGGATCGCCCCCCCCCCTGACCTCGCGGCAGCGCGCGCTATCCCGCCTGGGCCAGAACTCGAAGCGGCGCGCGGCGCCCTCGGGCCGCCTCGGGCGGGCGCGCGGCCGCGCTAAGACCGGGCGCGTCGCGGGCAACGCCCGAGCCATCGCTCTCGCACTTCCTCTGGTCGGCGCAGACGCATCCGTGGGCGCCGAGGCCGTCCCCGCCGAACGTCGCCGCTGCAACCCTCAGCTCGAAGGCCCCCCGCTTCGCGCGCCAGCTCGTGACTTCCCCGACGCCCCCAATGCAGTGACACCTGCAGCTTGACCTTCGCCTCTAGCGCGGGGCGGGGGAATTCCTCGACGCCGCGCTCGCCAGCCCGCTGCGCCAATCGAAAAATATCGGGGGTTCGCGCTGGGCCAGCGGGCCTCGGCGCGGCGCGGGGGCAACTTGCGGTTCGCGCGCGTCCTGCTAGCTGGTCTGCTTGCCCCCGGGCCTGCCGCCTTTCTCCGGGCCTCGCTGAACGCCTCGGCCGAAGCCCTGCTGGCCCAGCGCCCTTTTCCAAGTCGGTCGCCCACTCTCGGCGCGAACCCGCAGTCGCCCAGCGCCCGCTCGGAGGCGGGGAGGGGGGGCGCGGGGGGGGGCATGGAAGTGGGGGGGGGGGGGCGGGAGCACGAGGGGTTAGAGGGGGCGGGGGGAAGGGGGGGGCGGAAGCGCCAGCACCGATTTTCCAAAAAACTTTGACTCGGGACCCAAGGTTTCCAAGTGTAGAGCCGGATCTTTTTATTTAACGTATTTCTCACGCGCGCGCAGGAACGAACGCGCGGCGGGCGGCTCCCGCCGGTTAAACCAACGGGGGCGCGCGCGCTCTCCTCGAGGGCGCGGCGGCGGGGGGGGGGGCGAGAATGGGGGCGGAAGAAGTGGCGGTGATTTGGAACCTTCGGGCAAAATTTCTGGATTGCTTTCAACGAAGCGCAGCCGCGCGGGCGGGCGCCTTCCCGGCCCGGTCGGCCTCGAGCCCCCGGGCCACGAGGTCCTCGCAGACACTCGCCGCAGAGGAGGCGCGCTCGCGCGGCGAGGCAGCGCCGCTTCTCGCGGGGTCTCGGCGCCCGGGGGGCCACGAACGGGGGCCCCCAGAGGGCCGAGAGTTTCGGCCGCTGCGTTGGCGCCCTCGCTGCAACTCGCCTCATCGGGCCCCCCGCGCAGAAGCCGCCCTTGCTCGAAGCTCGAATCCTGGGGCCAAAACGGCGAGAGGAAGAACTCTTCCGAGGGCTCGTGGCTGGGATCGTCGCTTCTGCCGCGGCTGTTTTCGTTGTTGCTGATGTTTGCGGTCGTTGGTGGTGCGGCTGTTATTGCTAGATTGTTGTTGTTGTTGCTTGGTAATGCCGTCGTTGACGGTGGTTTGCACCTGCTGTGTTTACCAGTGGTTGCTGCACTGGCGTTGTTGTTTTGTTGTGGTTATTGGCGATGCGCGTTGCTGCTGCTATTCGGCGTTGGTGCTGGTTGCTGTGCTGGCGTCGTCGCTGGTGGCTTTCCTGCCCTTGCTAGTTGCTGCAAGTGCTACCAATGCTCTCTGCGCTGGCTCGTTGCCCGTTTTCCTCGCGGCCAACTTCTAAAACGCTCGGTCAAGCTCTGTCTAGAGCGCTCGCCCCAGCTCCCGCCCGCTCGCGAAGCGCTGGAAAGAAGCCCTCAACATGCCGTCAGCGTCAGAGCCAGGAGCGGCCACGAGAGTCCCTACTCGGCGGCGCGAGATCGGCATCGACGTCCGCGAGTTCGGACCCGACAACTTGAAGGCGGACCTCGACGACCTTGGACGGGGCGTCCACTGGTCGCTTCTGTGGAGATGGTGGTCGTACAGCGTATTGTCCTGGAACTGTCCGCCCTCGGTTTGCCTCTGGATTTCATGTCCTGGGTCGGGGTTGCCCTCGAGCTTCCCGTCCTGGAACTGATTGTCCTGGAACCTCTTGTACTGGAGCTTCCTGTCTGGCGGCTGCTGGTCCTCGATCGCCCCCGCATCCATCTCGATCTCGACGTCGACTTATGGCGTGGGCGTGGGGCGCCTGGGGCGCCGTTCAGCTCGGGTTGCCCCCATCTCGGCGCGGCCATGGGCTTGCCCATCGGAACCAGGCCCCTTCTTAGCTCAAGTCTCAAAACCTTGGGCCTATATTATTCTGGACGTCGATCGACTCATCGAATATAAGTCCAGACTCGGTCCTCGATCCTCGGGCCCTCTGATCCAAGGTCGGAGGACCTCGGGTCTAGATTCCAAAATGCCCGAAGATCCACGGTTCCAAAATCGGGGGTCGTCGATCCGAGGACGGAACACCGAGACTCGACAACAGCGAATGGGGAGAGCGGCGGACGAGTTGCACGTTCGTGATGCGCGGAGCTGAACAGGTGAGAACCTAATGGCCCTGCCACGCGATCGTGACTTGGGGAAGTTGACGTAGTGAGAATTAATGCCCCTGCCACACGCTCGTGATATAGAGGCTGGAATGGTGAGAATCGTGTGGCGTTCCCACACGTTCGTGACATGGGAGCACTGGAATGGTGCGAATCCCGAAATCGTTGCCGCACATTCGTGAGCTGGGGAAGCAGAAGCAATACAACACAATTCGCCGGCCCAACGGGCCAGGGCGTGCTAAGATCTCCGGCACCTGGTTAACAGTATTTCTAGTTCGCGCACGCGGGGCGGCCCCTGGGGGTCCCCGGACGAAAAGTACCCCGGCAAGGTCCCGGCAAGTCCCCGGCAAGATCGGGTCAGAGATGCCGAAGTTCTGTTACAGGGCCCCAGGACGGGCCAAGAGGTCCCCAAGAAGCCTCCAAGACGGTCCAAGAGGGCCCCGAGACGGCCAAAGATCGCCCGAAGACGCCCAACAGGGCCCCCAAGACAGCCCAAGAGGCCTCCAAGACGCTCCAAGGGCCTTCCAAGAGGCCTCCGAAGAGGGCCCCAAGAGGCCAAAATCGTTGAATTTCATTGTTTTATCTATGTTTTTTGCGTTCTGGCTTTTTCGGCTTCCGGACGCTCCAAGACGGCCCAAGAGGCCCCCAAGACCGCTCCAAGACGGCCCACGAGGCTCCCAAGACGGCCCCGGAACGGCCCAGGAGGGCCCCCAAGACGGCCCAAGTGCCGCCCAAGACGGACCAAGAGGCCCCAAGACGGGCCCAAGAGGGGCTCAAGAGGGGAACCGAGAACTGAAAAATCGAGCCCTCCGCCCCAGAAGGCGCCCAGGAGGCCCCAAAAAGGCCCCAAGAGGCCCCCAAGAGGCCCCCAAGACTCCCCAAGAGGCGCCCAAGAGGCCCAAAAGAGGCCCCAAGAGGCCCCAAAACAGCCCCCAAGAGGCTCCAAAACTCGGCTAGCCCACAACGGTGCGACAATATGGGCCGGCGGAATGAGCGACGCGATTAAATAACATTGCCACACGTTCGTGACTCGAGACAACTAACATCGTGAATCCTGGACCCCGGCCGCGATTTGGGGGAAAGCTGAACGGGTGAGTTCCGATGGTCTTGCAACACGTTCGTGACTTGGGAGAACTGCAGTAATGAGAATCCCATGGGCCTGCCGCGCGTTCGTGATTTCGGAAAGCGGAACTCGTGAGAATCCCGTGGCTCCGCCACTCGCCCGTGACCTGGGCAAGCTAAAATGGTGAGAAACCTGTGGCCTTGCCACACGTTGATGACTTGGGAAGTCAAAACTTGTGAGAACCCAGAGAAACCTTGCAACACGGTTCGTGACTTTGGAGAGCCGCAATCGTGAATCCCATGGCCCTGCCAGACGTTCGTGACTTCGGCAAGCTGAAATGGTGAGAATACTGTGACCTTGTCGCACGCTCGTGACGTGGGAAAACTGACTTCGAGAGCACCCCGTAGCCCTGCCACGCGTTCGTGATTTCTGCTGCTACTCAACATCTAACGGTAGCAAATTCGGCTCGTAATTTTCCTTCGCCGGAATGGTAGCTGGACTCGACGCCAATCTCCCCTGATCAACTGTGCTGCGGCCTGGGAAGGGCCATCTATCAGGCGGAAAGGGGGCATGATGTTTTGTGCGGGGCACGGGAAATACTGCACAAGGGAACATCGTCCAAGATCATCTAGCTATCTGCGGCATGAGCCAAGTCGCGGAGCCCTTGGCACTGAAGCAGTGCGCCAACCTGTGAAACGAATGCGAGTGTCTAGAAGAGCAACATCCCCCCGTCCTCCGCATCCTCGTAAAGCGAGCCGCAAGACGGAGACCGTTTTTTCCCCAACCATCCTATGGTGTTGGCTTCTCGTTTTGACAGCGCCTCGCGTCCCCTCCCCTCCTCCCCTCCCCCCCTCCTCCCCCTCTTTGACTCTGCCCTCCGCATGTCCTCGTCGTCATCATCATCATCATCAACATCATCATCATCATCATCATCATCATCATCATCACCATCATCATCATCATCATCATCATCAGCATCATCATCATCAGCATCAGCATCAGCATCAGCATCAGCATCAGCATCATCAGCATCAGCATCAGCATCAGCATCAGCATCAGCATCAGCATCAGCATAGGCATCATCATCATCATCATCATCATCATCATCATCATCATCATCATCATCATCATCATAATCATCATCATCCGCGTTTCGTGGCCCCACAGAGAGGTCCACCTAACGCCCCAGTGGCGGTGTCCACATTCGTCTCTCCCGCCCAACATAATGATTCGTGGCCTCACAGGCAGGTCCACCTTCAGTCCCAGTGGCGGTGTCCACATGCGTCTCCCCCACCGAGCACGGCGCTTCGTGGCCCAATAGGAGCTCCGCCAAACTAATTGTATTATTCGCGATAACGGGCGTGACCGGGGGGAAGTTCGCCCCGCTCGATCACTTTACGGCAGGGGCCGCTGTGAAAACCTAAGCGCCCCTTTGCGCACCGCCAAGGTCTGCGAACACGACAGAGCGCCAGAGAGCACAACATTGATCACAAGATGGCGCACGCATAAGAGCAGCGTAACGTGCTTGCGAGGTGGAAAGGGGGCCGACTAATCAACCCGAAACTCGTCGCCGCCGGCCTCTGGTGGCCTCTAGAAACCTCCGAAGTTTGCGGGGGCCCTGCGGCAACCCCGAATGCCCCAAAACCGCCGACGACGAAATGTGCACAAATATGCACACACACACACTCGCCCTTCTCCTCCTTTTCCTCGTCCTCCTCTTCCTCCTTTATCCTCCCTATTCCTCCTCGCTCCTCCCCCATCTCCTCTTCCGTCTCCCCCCCGCTCCTCCCCCCAGAGATCGGGGAGGACCTGGGGACCCTCAAGAACTTCTCGAAGAATCCTTGAGAAACCCTTGCAGACGTGAGCAAAGCAGCGTGGCGTGTTCTGGGGTGGCAGGAGGAGGGAGAGGGCCGATCACGGCCGTTGTCGCCCAGATCTAAAACCACAGGCTCATGGAGAACTGCCACGGTTAGAGAAGACTAGCACTGCACGCTTCTTACAATTCGTAGTTCTTGGAGTTCCGTTCGTAGGTCCGTTCGTAGTTCTTGGAGTTCCGCTCGTAGAAAGTATGGGCGTTCCGTTCGTAGTTCTTGGAGTGGCGCTTGACCCCCTGCCTAGCGCGCTGAGCGCGCCAGGAGAGGAGCTGGAGACGCCGCCGGAGGGGGCTCCAGAGCCGATCCCGAACAAACACCCGCGCGGAGCTTCGACCGTTTATGTGTATGCAATTGTTCCTTCTCCCGATCCGACTCCCACCCCCCTATCCTCCTCCTCCTCCTCCTCCTCCTCCTCCTCCTCCTCCTCCTCCTCCTCCTCCTCCTCCTCCTCCTCCTCCTCCTCCTCCCCCTCGTCCTCCTCCTCCTCCTCCTCCTCCCCCTCGTCCTCCTCCTCCTCCTCCTGCTTTTCCTCGCCAAATGCCCTGTACGGTGCGGTGGGGGGCCCACGGGCCTCCCGACGGGCACGTCCTTCAGGATGTGCTTGATCTGGCGGCCGCCGGAGCGGGAGGAGCGGTGGAACGGGGCTCGAGCCGCCCACTCCCCCCACCACAAGGGGGGTCAGACTGACCGAAGAACCACTCCTGTTCCCGGAACTTGGGCGACCACAGGAAAGCGTTCCCCCTCGGGGGCTCCCGAGGATCGGGCGGCCCAAATCTAACGCATCTCCTGGCGGGGCGCGCCGCCCACACGGTGGAGGGGCCTGATGGATTCCAAACGGGCTTCCCCGAGAAGTGGCCGAAGGGGGGCTCAGGGACGCAGATCCAGTCCCCCCCCCCCTTGTCCCCTGACCTCAGATCTCGGACTGGTAAGGCTCCGTGCTGCGCGTAAACTGCACCTCCAGGTAGTCTCTGCGGGCCTCCACAAGCCCCCCCCGAATAATCCGGGTCGGTCTCAACACAATGGCGCCGCCTCCGGCGGTGCCATAATTCAACTGAGCGGCTCACATCAAATCGCAGTTGGTGAACAAATCTGCTTCCCACTAACATCACCCACAGGACACCAGACAATCGACTGATTCCGCCGACCAGCAGTCGTAACAACTAAATGCTGGGGACGCTGAAAGGATATGTCCCTGCACCGTAATCAAATGCCACAAACAGGTTTTGTTTTGAATCCATGCACGTCATTCCCATGCCACATGGCATCGCAGGGGATGCAACAGGGTTCATCTGAGGCTGGGCAGGGGAAAACACAGAGGCAATGCCGCGATGCAGACAATCGCAGCATCGCGCGTATTTCTGAAGCCGCCAGACCAGACGAGGTCAAACCAAAAAACGGGCGGTGTCATACCATTGATTGCAAGCCCCGACGAACGGTTGATGGACAGAATCCTGCACCACCTGCGCGACTGGGGTGCCAGCGCACACTTCAACGTCCCACCTGCCCACGATTGAAAGTTGGTTGGCATCGCCAGCGGGGCGCAGGATTTCGGCCAGTCGACACATCGCGGCGCAGGCCGCCAATCTGAAATTGGGGGCGCGGGCGTTGTTCACACACATCCTTATAAAAAGGAACTGGATTGTGTCCATCAGCCGAACCTCATACTTTCACCGCGCAGCGGGCGTCTCCTCGGACAACGTGTAGTTGTGCACCAAGGCCACTGGCAGCAGCTGGTCTACCACCACCTGCCCGCCCCGTCTCAAACCACTTCCCCACTGCTGCTCTGCCCACCGCGCAAAGATGCGACCGCTGCCCAGCCGAATCTACACCGCATACTTTCCGAAGCATGCGTTGCAAACGCCTGGGGGGTGGCAGTCGCCAGCGAACCAGCGAGGGCATACAAAAATCAGTCTGGCGAAAAACCCAACCATATGGACTTGTGGGTACCGCAGTTGTGGGTATCGTCTTCGGTGGAGCTCCCTATGGGCCACGAAAAGCTGTACTGAACGGGGGAGACGCACGCGAACCTTGCCAATGGGGCCTTCGGTGGAGCTCCGTATGGGCCACGAAACGCTGTTTTGTGCGGGGGCGACGAATGTGAACGGGTCCATTGGGGCCTTCGGTGGAGCTCCGTAATGTGGCTACGAAGCGCTGTACTGTGTGGGGGAGAAACGGGTCCATTGCGGCTTTCGGTGGAGCTCCCTATGTGGCTACGAAGCGCCGTACTGTGTCGGGGAGACGCATGCGAACGGTTCCACTGGGGGTGTCGGTGGAGCTCCCTTTGGGGCCACGAAGCGCTGTACTGGGTGGGGGAAGCGCATGTGGACTTAGCCACTGGGGCCTTCGGTGGAGCTCCCTTTGGGGCCACTGCACTGGGTGGGGGAGACGCACGTGGACAGTGCCATTGAGGCCTCCAGTGAACCCCCTTATTTGGCCACGAAGCGCCGGATATCCCCTCATGCAGCACTGGCAAACAAAAAACATCTTGAGCCTAGTGGGCTCAAGAGAGGAGGCACGAGGGGAGGACGCGGCATCAGACGATGATGACGACCTTTTGCCAAGGAGCAATGCTGCTTGCTCCGTTGGCGCCTGGCGCCTCTCGCGCCGGCGCCGGTCTTAGGCCACGCGTCGCGGGCCACGCCGCCGCCAAGGCAGTGTAGCGCTTCGGCGGCACCTTAAAAGTCCAGAACAGGGCGGGTAATGGGGCCCCCAATGGGGCCCCAAGGGTGGGCCAGCTTGGCCTTAGGAAAGGCTTGAGCCGCCGAGCGGCGGCGAGAGAGAAGGAGCGAGAGAGGGCAAGCAAGAGGCAAGGGCAGGAGCGAGGGGACCGCAGGAGAAAGCCCGCGCCAGTCCTGGAAACGGGGAGATCCATCAGTTTTACCAAACGTCCTAGATATCCCCTCAAGCAGCACTGGTAAACTAAAAACATCTTGAGCCTAGTGGGCTCAAGAGAGGAGGCACAAGGGGAGGGCGCGGCATCAGACGATGATGACGACCTTTTGCCAAGGAGCAATGCTGCTTGCTCCGCTGGCGCCTGGCGCCTCTCGCGCCGGCGCCGGTCTTAGGCCGCGCGTCGCGGGCCACGCCGCCCACCTCCTCCTGTAAGTGCACCGCTACGCCAAACTGGCTGTGGTGGGTCACGTAGTCGCCGATCTTCCCGGCGTAGAACTCCAGTCCCGGCATCTGCGGCACGCTGCCACGTCCGCCCAGCAAGGTGGGTCCGCAGGCGCAGGGCGGCACGCCGCCGGCGCCCGCGGGGGTTCTTCATGCGCCCTGCGCGGCAGCCCTGGCTGGGCCAGCCGCCGGCGCCCCCTTGCAGCCGCCACCGCCGCCCCCCATGACGGCGCTGCCGGTGCCAGGCCGGCGCGGCGCTCTGCCCTCGGGCACCAGCTGCCGCTGCCCGCGCCCAGCTGCTCGCAAACGCGAAGCTGATCGCGAGCGCCAGGCTGAACTCAGCCGGCGCCGCGCGGCCGCCCGCGCGGCGGTTGCCAACGGCGGACCTCCGCTGCCCGCTCGGCCGTTGGCCGGCGGCAGCCCCGCACCTCAGTCACGATGCGGCCTCTGCTCTCCTCCCCGGGGCCATTCTGGCGACCCGCGGTGCCCTGGCGGGGCCACTTCCCGCGTCGCCTCGTTGGCCCGGCGGAAGCCCTGGGTCTCGTGCACGTGCTTCACGCCGTTGTCGTGCACCGGGCCCATCACTCCTGCGTCGCAGTGCGTCTTCTGCGGCTGCTTGGGGAGCTTGGGCACCTTGGGCGTCGGCTGCACTGTGGCCCGCTGTGCTTCTGGCTCCGGCACCTTCTCGCTCTTCTTGGCCATCCCGCAGCAGCAGCAGCAAAAGAGCACCCCGATGCTCACTCCAAGCAGCACTGCGATCGTGACCGCCACCTTCAGCGCCGTCTCCACCGGGAAGACGATCGCCACCGTGCCCATCTGCGGCTCCCAGCGAAGCGTGACCCCCTGGGTCCTGTCGTCGACTGCTGCCATCTCCCAGCCCTGTATCTCCCCAGCTGCCGTTGCGAGCGCCGTCACCACCAACGCTGCGCACAGCATGCCTGCCCGGGGGTTGCGGGCTCTGCGGTTGCTGCCGTGCCCGCTGGCCGCCCGTCTGCTCCTTCGCTGCTGCCTGTGCTGCAAAACAGCGCCTAACAACACCGCTGCCAGCAGCGCCCCCGCTGTCACCGCCCACGCCCCCAAGCCGACCGGGAGCGCGAAGATCAACAGGTTCTGGCTCTCCGCCGGGTCGACCTTGATCACGTAGCCGTCTGCGCCGCCAGCCGCGGCGGCGAGCGTCGTCGCGACCAGCGCCGCTCTGGGCCACGGCGAGGTCAGGCTCTTGCCCGCGCGGCGCTCGCTCTCGGCCGCGCGGGCCGGCGGCGCCGTGAACTCAGACGTGCCCGTCGCCATGTCGGTCGAGATGCCGCGCATGGGCTCGTGGCTCCCCCACAGGCACCCGTGGAAGCTGTCGGAGGCCCAGCGCCCGAAGCGCTTGACGCGCTGCGGGTCGTCCACGGCGTGGTACATCGCCGTTGCGCCTCCGATGCGGAGGCTGCGTGAGCCAATCTCCTCCTTCCTCAGCCCGGCGGCCAGCCCCGCGATCGTCAAGTAGTGCTGCACCTCCTCGCGGCGGATGGGTGCACCGCTCGCCCAGCGGAAGAGCGGGAGCTCCTCCTCGCTACCTCGCAGCCTCTGCGGGTAGTGCTGCTCCAGCTGGCGGATGGCGGCCACGGGGCACAGCGACGTGCCTGTCTGATACTGATTCCTCACACACCCCACATTGTACTGGTCCGTCTTCGAAGAGGTGATGTGGAGCACCACCTCCACCGCGTCCTTGAAGGTGCAGGGCTGGTTGTTGCCGTCGCGGCCCGTGAAGTCCACGCCGCGCACGACGCGCTCTCGGCCCCATGTCTTCCCAGGTTGGATTAGGTACTCTGACGCCCTCAACATGAAGAAAAAGGCCACCACCACGGCGGCCCACAGGACCGCGGCGTCCGTCTCGGGGAGGTCGGTCTGGTCCCTCAAGAAGCCCTGGAGCCACAGGAGCATGCGCGGTGTCACAGGCCGCTTCCGCCCGCTCGGCCCTCGGCTTCTCCGGAGGCCGGCGAGCGTGGACCAGGCGACCCCGGTGGAGTAGAGGGTCTGGATATCCGACCACGAGGTGGGCGAAGCGTACGGCGAACAACTTCTGTTTGATCGTGCCTTCTGTGCGCTTCAGCACTTAGCCAGCACGACGACGAAACCCAGCAGCGCCTCCTCGTTGGCGTGGCGCTCCTCGCGATCGCGCCCCTCTAGCCAGGGCGACTCGCCCTGGGCTGCCCTGAAGCCCTGCCACTGTCGCCAACCGGTCTCGTAGCCGGCGCGGGCCCCCTCGGACAGCCGTAGCATCAGCGCCTCGCGCTTCTGCTCCTCGATCCACCCGCCGTAGTCCTCCCCTCCCAGGGTCGGGTGGTCCGGCAGGGCGATGGCGGCCCGCGCTCGGCCCAACGCGATCGGCTTGACCAACCCCTGGGTCTCCACCTTCTTGCCCCGGTTGGGGCTCCGCTTCCGCCGCTTCTCGGGTGTGCTGACGGCCGCGTTCAGGTCCACCTCCTTGGCATCAGGAGGGGGCTCGGGGCCCCGCACGAGGTCCTCCTCGATTGCCTTGAAGCGGACGCCTTGGCTCTTGCGCCTCGCCTTGTGGGCGTCGTCGCTCAGCACTCCTGCGTGTTGGTCGTCCTCGGTGGCCTCGGCCTTCGCCCGGAGCTCACCCCGTGCCCAAGCCCTGAGCCACCGCCGGGTCGTCTCCCAGGCAGCCGACTCCGCGGGGTCACGGCGGCCGCCCGCCCGCTGGGTGGTCTGCGCCAGCGCGTCCGCAGCGGCGCCCAGGACAGCTCTCGCTGTCTCGGGTGGCAAGGACATCGCTGCCTCTCGCATCAAGGTGGCCTCAGCGTCGCCCTGGGCCCGCCTCTTCACCCATGCTGCCTCGTCGCCCCCCTGCACGATCCAGACCTCCTCAGGCGACAGCGCCCGAATGCGCCCGCCGCTGCTCCCCGGGACGTGGATCAACGTCCCTCCCGGTCCGCCTGGGCCCTCTGTGGGCCAGCGAAACGTACCGATCGGGCCGTCGATCGAGCAGACCAGGTGCTTCGCGCCAGCGAGCTTGATGTGGCCGATGCCCTTGGGCAGCATGGGGTCGGAACCCCCTCGGGCTGCCGGGTCCCAGGTGACACTCCCCTCGTCGTCGAGCCAGTGGTGGTCGCCTTCGCTGAGCTTGTCCTTCAGCGCGTGCTTGACCCCGTGGGGACAGCGGCGCGCCGGCGGCATGCGCATGCTCGCCAGGCTAGCGCCTGCTGGTCCTCGGCCCGCCACAAGCAAGCTCCGAGCTCGGGCCGTCATGTGGCCGTAGTGGGTGCAGACGACCTCCAGGTCGTACGTGCGGTATCCCATCTTGCGCAGCGCCTTGACGACGCGGGTCAGGTCGAGCTTGCCTGGGGCGTCGACCACGACGATCTGCGGCCTCGCCCGGGTGACTGCGGACACCAGCTTCTCGACCTCAAAACCCTTCGTGTCCAGGGGCAGCGTGCACATGATCCAGTCCACCTCCATTGGGCTGCCCGTTGTCAGTTCACCACCTAGCTGCTCCCAGGCGCGCCCGTACGTCCCCAGCGGGCTCCCAAGCTCCAGTCCCCGGCGCCCTTTGAAGGCCAGGCTGCACGGAGCTGCCGCTGGGGTCCTCAGCGCCCGATGGCGGAGCGCTGACTCCGCAATG